TATATATATATATATATATATATATATATATATATATATATATATGGCAATCATTAGAAACACATAAACGAAGGAATGTTTTAGTAGGGCCTACATTCGCATCACTACGTTAATCTCCAAATTGCGCACACCACGACGACGAAGAACCAGTTCGGAAGATTGAGTCAATCCGTGCATATCAACGTTCATCACTCGCCGTCATAAATCCATCCCAAGCATCGATCGAGTGTGTTATGAATGGTCGGCAGAATCATGCAGTAGGTGGCTACTGACAAACAAAATCATTCAGTGATAGATCCATCACATCCAGCTTCTAGCACAATCTTAAGCAAATCTTGGCCTCGAAGAATAACTAAAAGCCTGGGCTCGCCCGAAGCAAATCCAAAGTTATGTAGCCGATCAAAAGTGCATCGGAGGGACCCTTTAATGGAAATCTCACAGATAACATATTTCAGCTCGCTCTTCTGTTCGTCCGGCTCGTCGTGCTGGGTTCACATGTATAATCTTCTTTTAGTAAACCGCAGCAAATCATATAACTAAGGGGAGCGTGAAGGTGTACAAGTTCCCCTTTCATGAACAGCTGCACAGATACAGACTTGATAAAATGAAGTATCGACGCTAACAGTTTCCATAAAATGGTGTTAGGATAAAACTATCCGACGCGATTAGTTCTTTCCCAACTTGTTACTTGGTTGGTGAATGGGTCGCCTTAAAGGAGAATCGTGCGGGATGTATACAGCCGGTAAATCATTAGTTTCTCAAAACTTTTCAACTGGAGTTCCGATACACGAACGTCAGGATGGGTGTTTCCTTTGCGGACCACAGGCAGTTGCTGCCCTTTACGGATTTGAGGAAGTTTTGTCCCCTTGAGATCAGGTTTACTCGAGGTTGGTGGATATTATTGGTATCGACCTACGTTAACCTGTAATTCGAAATGGTAGCGCCGCGCTTCTTTCCAATTTTTGTAAGCCGGTCAGAGAACAAATAGCCGGCTGTTCATTTCGGCTGTACACCCAACAAGATACATCAACTATGACAACGGGGTAGACCAGAAAAAGGCATTTACTGGAGTTGAGTCATATCGTTTGATCAGAACCCGTATCATCAGACCACGCAGGTGTGTGAGGTGATTCATGATGACCATCCACAACTTGTGAACCTGTGACGGGAATTTTCTATTAGTCATTCGAACTGTAATTCTAGCGGCGCAAGTGATGTATAGGGCAATTGATTCATCATCGATGAACAGCGGCGGTGATTACATCAATCAATCGATAAGAAATCATCGTTGCGGCCAGTGCCAATCTGTTCCAAATATGTGGGACTACCGTGAGCATCGAGAAAAGTCAAAACACGGTGATAGATCGCCAATCACTTGAAAGCACATTTCGACAATGAATGATTTCAGCTGTGCATCTCATTCTTTTAGTTATCTGCCATTGATAATACATCTATTTTCAAATAGCTCCGACGAAGAAAACACTGCTAATGGACGATAGATCGGCAATGAATCCACGGAATGATTGCCTGAACTTTTACTTGTCATTTCCTTTACTAATGGAGAACGGAAGCGTTCTATCGGCTACACTCCAGTAGTAAAACCGAACCAAATAGACTTTCACTTAACCTTGGTTTCAGTAATCAATAAATTTGTTTGGATTATTCAGCTTATACGATAATGTAGTAAATTATCGGTTGTCGAGGTTTTTCGCCTAGTAGTAAATTTTTTATTCGCAACGTGAAGAGTTTCATTTATGTTACCTTATTTTTACCGTTACTGAGGACAGGGAGTACTTGGCTAGCTTGGTATCCCCGAGCTTTGCCGCGCCACATGTATATACACTTCACAACCATCGAATTGCAGGCTTCTCGACAAGTCGTTGCGCTGGATAGAATTTTGGCATGAATAAGCGTACCCACAAACACACACCAAAATAACTATTTGCATATGGAACGCAGAGATTAGTGCGGAAGCGTAGTAGATGTAGAGAGTACATACCCACGCGAGCATTCACCTTGACTCAAAACTAATACAGCTGCTGGATTATCGTTTTTGGTCAGCGTAAAATCCTCTATTGGCCACGTGGGAATCAACCTAGTGTGGGCCACTTAGTCTGGCGACTAAGCGGCTTGAGATCCGCGACATGAGAGAAGTGCATGGTCACCAGTGCATACCAATGGTACGGATTCTTCAGCATTCCTTTAACAAGAGGTGATTTTGTTTGTACAGATCACCTGCTATGTAAACAAAACGAAATCCAGCAGCGAGGAATAGAACGAACGAATTGTTCTCTTTTGTATTCAGTTATGAAGATTTAGACGTCATCAATTTTTTTACGCCTTCTCCCGGTGATCTTTCGCCAGTGACCTTGATATTCACGCATTCTAAGATAGTACTCTTCTAAATCGGCCAATCTATCAGCAAACGCAGGACTGAAGTAAGAACAACTGAAGACATATGGAAGAACTTTCGCACATTTTCGATGTATAGGTAATGTCTAATAGATAAATGTTTCCGACGGGATCAGAATCTCAAGATAAATGACCTTTATGTGAGCTGTTTTTACAGCTAGAGAAATGAATCGACAGACAACGATCAGCGTTCCATTACGCTCACAAATGATTGGAATGTACACGTTTCCACCAACGCAAACAAACCCCAGCCAACGAATCGGAACACGTCTTGAGAAAGAATACTCAACAGTTGGAACGATATGACGAAGAATATCCAGTAGCAGAAAGCGAAAAAACACTGGTGAGAGAAGAAAGTCAGAAAAGTAAAAACAAAATAATGTTAACTTTTTATTTACTGCCTATTGGAATTTTTCTCGGCAGGCTATAATGTGTGATAGAACCACAATGATAGTGAGATGTTTGCAAAACTCCGGACAACAGGTGTCTGCGGTGGGGAACGAACGCGCTATTACCCTTTCCGGGGAGTAACGCGTTCACCACCACACCATGCGGATCCTTCGTTTCGCCTGTTCCTCAGCTAATTCTATCGATCAGTGCCATCAACACTTAAAGTGAAAATAGATGACAAGAACTCTTTCACCATGACAGGAAGTATTTGCGATCCGGCATAGATTTTCATTTTCTTACAATTTATTCCATAGCATAATTATTGCACTCGGAAATCATCTCGACATTGGTATTCATAATTAGCCCTCCATGAGAGCATTTAGTGAACAACCGAAAGGAAGAGTAAACGAATAGAAGCACTTTTACATTACGTATAAGAACAGATATTGCACAGATAATTCTCAAAAACAAGTCAAATCAGATCGATTTCATCTTCATCAACACAAACAAAAGAAAAAAATGCATTTAGGAAAGGAAAGAAAACTCACCTAGGTTCTTCAAGCGTTGTGTGAGTTTTTCCATCTGTGACTGACCGTGTTCAGTCTTCGGACTCCGACTACGATCATGACGAGGATAGCTGAGATCTTGTCGCGATGAGTTCAAACTCACACTTCCGAGCGGAATTTCAATAGACTTTCCTGGTATGGAACTCGGAATAATGAGTGTTCTGTGTGGAATAACGATCTCACTCTGAACGCTTTGCCGCTCATCTCCATCCGAGGGAAGCAGTTGTCGTGAGACATTCTTCGTAAATGTCGCCGGCCTTGTTGTTTCGGTCGGTGAGAGGCGACCACTACTGAAACACCACAGATCCGGCATAAAGAGCTACAGAAGTAGAACGGTAAATAGTAGCAGAGCAGCGGCAGCAAGAAGATCAGCGCTGTCGGGTCAGTAGGGAGCGGGCGTCGAACCGACGGTGCATAAGGGATGGGGCGGGGCTGGGCGCACACTGGCGGAGGGTGTGGTTTCCGACGCGGGACAGCGCAGCGCCGACATTTCAGCGGGAGCCACCGGTGGGCAATTTCCTGTTCGGAAACCGATCAACCGTTAGAACGATCACTTACGCCTACAAACTACATGCAGTCAAAAAACCCAAGTACGTGTAGTAACATGGAACACAGAAACCCCACATTAGCAGGATTATCAGTTTCATTCAAATATCTAACTTTTAAATATTTAATTTTTCATTTACTGCCTACTATTTCTGTTCCGGCAGCGTACAATGTGAAATGAAACCACAATGATGGTTGGATATTTGTAAAACTTAGACCACAGGCTCCCGTTCACGGGTGATTCCTGATGGCACCTCTAGGATAAAAAACTGGCTGAGAGGAAGACAAGACAACGGCTTCGGTAGTGCAGTCAGCAACATGAGTACCCAGGGAAAGAGTAATCGAGGGTTCGAATCTGGTCTGGGGTTGCGAATTGTGCAAACGTCTCATCATCGTGATGATTGCGGCCGATTTTTACTTGAGATAAACTGCTAGCGCCATTATAATTGAACCAGATCACACATGATATCCTATTTCCACTCTTCTTTTCAACGCCATGCAATAATTTCATTAGTGAAGGTACCCGTTAACCTTCGATGATTGCAGGTGTGTAAAAAAATTTTAGCTGTTCCCGAAACAAAAAAGCATCAATGGATTCGTGAAGATGCCAAATTTTTATAACAACAATTTTTGGGAAACTGGAAATCTGACAGTAGGACAAACTCTGCTCATTTGGAATAGGAATATACTTTTTCCCAGAGTGTTCCTTCCATTTTAAACCTCTTTAAAGTTCAAGTTTGCAAAAAGCTTTGAAATCCCAACTTTTCGACATTCCGAACATGTATTTGAAAGTATCATCGCTTGAATTAAGAGCATTGATGGGAAGAAAAATAACAGAAGACCACTTGCAGGCCGCAAAAGATCAGAGATTTATGGTATGGGTCACATGTAACACATATCGTAGGGAATGTAAAGAAGCACAAGTAAAATACAGGAACCGGCCACGCTGTCATCCTCACGTTAAATTGTATTTCCTCGCAGAAGTCGTCGTCATAGAAAAGAAAACATTCCGCATTCTGATGCATTAATACGGTTGTGTCATTGGTTCCAAATTGGTAGTGAAGCACTCTTTCATTTTTCATATGAGAACCAGTAAAATGGTCTTGGAATAAAGCGTTTTATAGCTCAGGGAGAACAGGAACGATGAAATCTGCGGACATATGATATCAGTAAAATCATTTATAATTCACCTATCGAGCTTGCAGTTTTGGATGAACAACTATCACATATAAGGGCGGATGCTTTAGAAATTTCCTGTTGCTGAATAACCCATAACTCAATCACTCAGAACAGAGAAATCGAAAGGTTTCTCATCAAACTGCCAACAGAAAAAACAAAGTGCATTATTAACCAAAGAGACGACCCTCTCTTGCACTGTACATCGCCCGAAATTACAGGTGCATATTCTAGTATTTCTTTCAATGGATTCGCTTACTGCATACATCATCCATAAAGCTCTTCATATTTTGCGTGTGGATTTAGCTGCTGCTTAAGAATTTTGGCCTTCTTATTAAATGTCATCGAATTCTAATCGGGTCAATTCTCAATTGAATTCTAAGATGGCTTTCCTACATCATAACAGACAGGTGCCATCCACTAAGGATTGGAGAAAGTTAGTCGACCCTAGACAAGGCTAATAGCAATTTGCCGAACCTCAAAGGATGGCGCGTTTTGCTTGGTCCAGCGTAGAGACCAACCATGCTCCTGCGCGTAGAGTGGTGCCCCTACCGGCATTTATTAATTGATGTTACAAAAAAAGGGCAAGATTATAGCTTAAGGAAATATTAAGAAAGAAACCCATGCCTAAACAAGCATTCCGTAGCTCTTTGCCTCCTATGATCCTATGTCAACCGAGTCCTGCATTATTTATAGGTGGGTTAATGGTGGGAAACCACTCTATGAACGGTGATTTTTCCATCAGCTGATCATCGGAGAATATTTGCATAGACCAGACTTACGTACATTCTGGTAATGAATTTATAAATAGAACAAGGTTATAGCCGTATAATCTCCTTGATTTAATCAATATCTAGAGAGATTGATTAGTTCCGAAAACAACCTCTTTGCATCCCAATACCCCTAAGGAAAAGCAAACTTAACTTAGCGACGATTAATCATTTCATTCATAAACGCTGTTAACAGTTGTCATTGCTGTCCCCTCCGAATTACCCTACCTTGAGAGCTTCTTTGGCTAATTGCACACAACATTGGGATCATTTTGACTCGGTTGTTTTCTCTCAGGTTCGTATATGCTAGATGCTATATGTATGCGTATATTAAGTCCCACTACATTTACATACACGCGCAATATTTTAAATAGTAATATACATACGGCAATATACGGTATATATACTTATTTGGATAATTGAACGGCCTGTCCTCAGTGATTGTGCGGACGCCAGCATAATTTCCATGTTTGCGAGTTTTGCTGGTTTAGCTACTGCGGTTTCTTTGAGCCCCGAGGTCTACCTAGCCAAAGTCTGCCCCAGGTCGTCACCACCACAAGCGGTCGCTGCCTTTGTGGATCAGACGGAGATTTGCCATTACGCGACTACTTTGATACCGGGATGGTGGCGGATCCTGGTATTGGTTTACTCTTAACTGGGCTTTCTGATAGAAACGGCAGACTCCTTTTCAGCTTGGAAAGGCTCTGATAGAGGATGAATCCTTTAGCTGTGCATCGAAGCCTAACACCTAGGAGTACTTCCCAGCCACGATGAGATGGTAAACCATTGGGAGGTGTTCCTGGATATCAGGCTGCGATGTAAAGCGGGCAAATTCATCATTCCAGCAAGGCCTCCCACGCTAGGAAGTAGTCCGGCGTTTCCATCCGAAAGCCCGGCTAAGAGCAAAACGATACTAGGAATCCCCATCGTCTTGGTATCAGACTAGTTGAATGGTGAAAAATCTCCTTCAGATCCACAACTGCGACGACTGCGTGGAGTGGTGAGGATCTGAGGAAGACTTCGGCTAGATTGACCTCGGGGCTCTAAAGAACCACAATGTTAAACCGGCAAGATATTCTGGGACCCCCATAACCATTGACGATGGGTCATCAAAGTATCCAAGTAAGCATATAATACTCGAGAGAAAATTTTATACGCTCACTGCTTTTCAGCTGCCCTTGTTATGGTAGATAAGTAAGCCCATGAAACAGAAAGCATATTATGCCTATGACCGAGTCTATTCGAGGAACCGATACTTGTAGGGTGTTGAATCACCTTGAGTCTTAGAATTTTGTTTTTGCATGATCTTTTTATATTATACCCCGATTCTACCTAGGTTCCCCAAACAGACACCCGCATATTCCATCGTCCTTGTTTGATTAATTACTCATTCAACGTGAACCGAATGAAATCGTCCGAATTTACTGCGTAACGAAGTATTTAAAGCTGAATAACAAATTTAACTGCTGCTTAATCCAATGAAATTTAAGTATTAGGGCCTAATAGCAAAGAAATGAGGTTGAATCCGAGGCTAGAGTATCGTGTACTAACAATCTATGTCAAGTTTCCATCATTTGTGTGCACAGTTGGGAAAAGGGGATGAAATGTGGGAATGTTGATCACAAGACTTATCATTGGCATTTGCTGCACTCAGATTATGTATGTTGGTATTTCCAAGCTATGTCCAGTGGAATGTTACAACGAAATAAACGATATCAGTCACGTGATGGACGAACGAGAAGTCGAAGTGCGGGTAAAAATGGTACGCTCCCAGAAATTGAAGTTCACAACTCCAACCGATCTGCGTGGCTGCGTCGTGTAAGAATTTCAGTTAAAGATATTTTACACCCAGGAACGGTAGCCATTTTCGAGAACTACGGTTTCACTGCAAAGGCTTCCTTGATATACTGATATACTTTATGGGCGTTATACATAATCCAGATTAGCGTCTCACCTGAAAGCTCGTGCAAAGTCCCTTGGACTTGATTCACTAAACCGTCTCTGAAAACCACCACCGTTAGACAATCCACTGACGAAACCATTGGCAGTTTTTGGTTCAGAAGTACCCTGGAAATGCAGATAGGTTGCGTAAAGGACGAAGCTACGTATTCCTGCATAAGGCGAGAAAGTAGCACTCGAAACCTTTCACAAACCAGCCAATTACAATCAAAAGCCCATAATGGACTGTGTGACGCCTTCTGTCATTGGAAATGAAAAATTCTGTTGCTGCGTTGTATAAGAAATAAATTAGAAAACACATCGTAAGTACTGGTTAGTTTGACTACAGGTTACTAGAGGAAATAAAGGACAGGACGAATTTCGTTGAAATTTGGCTAGCATCTTTCTAAAGGAATCTTTTTCGGAAGATGAACTTGTTGCTTGCCAGACATGCGAATCGCTTCACCTACTCATTGTTCATGTTCAAAAGAAAAGCCACAGAGAAGTGCCTTCACAGATGATTTCACAATTTTTTCTTCGCTGAGAAGCACTCACCTCAACACGTATTGGGATATGTCGAACGACTCCATGCAGCGCATCCTGGCAGCTGTTCTGCCTTCTCAGTGGACCAAAACGACCGAAGACGTTCGTTCGCAAGAAGCGCGGTGCATCTAAATTCGTTTCCGTGTTCAACGACGAAAAAACTCACATGAACCATCAAAATCCAGAGTTCTTCTTGCTACCGGTAGCAACTGCTTCATTCAAAAATCAGAATCCTTTTTTCCGCTCGGAATAGTTCCTACATTTTTACCTTTGTTTAGCGCCAAATGTGGGAAGATTCATGAGGCTTTTATTTTCTAAGCAATGGTGAATATTTGAACAT